GAGTTATAATGTAGTGGTATAATCCGGTAGTTTAGGTAATTATTGTACTCTGGTCCCGTTTGTGAGTGCTGCTTTTTGGGGGGAGTTTTTTTTGTAAGTTTGTTTGTATGTTTGTGTGTTTGTATGGGATTGAGAGGCTGGTGTTTGTTTTATTTTGTATTATATATATTAATAGACATATATGAACATGCAGTGCCCCCTAAACACACACACACACACACACACCAGCTGTTCCCAATCAAGAGGCACATTTAAGAGGATCTGGGCGAGGCAGGTGGTGGCGGCAACGGGTGGTCACTGGTTCCCTCCATCCCCCCTCCCTCCCCCCCACCATCCCCCCCCACCTCTCCCTTTCCCCGGATGTCCCACGTGTCCAGTTGAAGCCTTTGAGGACTTGGGGGATGGGAGAGGAGGAGGGGGGATGGGGGAGGGGGTTAAGGAAGAGAGAGGGAGGGAGTGAGTTAGAGAGAGGGGCAGTGAGGGAGGGAAGGTCAAGGGAGAGGTGGAAGGAGGAGGGATAAGGGGTCAAGGGAGATGGGATGGGAGGGAGGGTAAGTCAAAGGAGAGCTGGAGGGAGGATCAAGGGAGGGAGTAGGTTACGTGAGAGGAAAAGGGAGGAAAGTACGAGAGAGAGGTGGTTGAAGGGAGTATATAGAAGAGGTGGATGAAGGGAGTACATGGAAGAGGTGGATGAAGGGAGTACATGGGAAAGGTGGATGAAGGGAGTATATGGGAGAGGAAAAGGAAGAAGTAGAAGAGAGAGAAGAACAAGGGAGGAGACGGATACCGAGTGTTTAGAGAACTACTTGGGTAAATAGATGGATAAAAGAGAAACAGAGAAGAAGAAGAAGATAAAGGAGGCGGATAGGAAGGAAGGATGATAGCTAAGGACAAAATTAAAGTGAGAATAGAGAAATAATAAAAATGGATTACTATCAATGTTGGGTTGAAATCACCATCACCGCCTCTCTTATCTTTCCATGTATCTCTCATATTACTGTATATCAGTATACCAAACCACTTACTGACGGTAAAATTTCCAAATCACTTGTGTAAGCCTTTAATAAACATCTAAATATATTCCTTATTCACCTGGAACAGAATTTTGTACTTTAATGTCCAAGTTACTTATGTAATCATGTAATACGCAAGCATGTGACGTGAAAATTACTGACCCTTCCATCACGACGAAACTAATTCGATGAAGCCATTACCGTGAGAACCAAATCGAACACGTTGTTTACTTATGACCGCCGCCGACCTAACCTAACCTAACCTAACCACAAACTAGATTTTTTTTTTGTCACAACAGTTGTTTTTACCTGATGATATAAGATTTATTTACCAGTTTCTAAGAATTATTCTCCACCTGGAATATAATTTAAGGTGAGGAAGACATAACTGTTAGGGGTAATTATAGTGTAGGGGAAGTTAATGATGGCTCAGGAGACGTTAGGAAGTTGACGTATGGTGTGTGTGTGTGTGTGTGTGTGTGCGCGTGTGTGTGTGTGTGTAGGAATTAAAAACGTACTATACATTTCTAACTGTTTACCCATCTGTCTATCTATCTACTGAGGTAGGGAGGTGCGGTAGTATGGGTGCTGAAGTAGGGAAGTGCATTAATGTGAGGATGAGGTAGGGAGGTGCGGCAGGGTGAGGTTGAAATGGGGAGGTGTGGTAATGTGAACTTGACGTAGGGAGGTGCGGCAGGATGGGGTTGTGGTAGTGGGGTGCGGTAATGTGAGGTTGGGTTGCTGCGTTATGCTATATATATGAGGGATGTAACAGGTGTGGCCGCTGGTAATGTCACCTCCACCTGGCCTCTATCCACTTGATCGGTCCTTACAGCCAGTCCATATCCACCTGGCCTCTATCCACTTGGTCGGTCTTTATAGCCAGTCCACATCCACATGGTTGGTCCACTGCCATGTTCAACAGGCTGGTGGCGTGGTCTTATAGTTGGTGGTGGAGCGTGCCGTTATGTGACTCTCTCTCTCTCTCAAAACCACTAGTATTGCCCTATGTCCGTCATATGTAATTATAATCCCTAATTAACGTGACTGAGAGTTAATTATGCTCATTAATTTTAGTTCTGGATGTGTATATTTCATTCACCAAACTAATTTCCGGTTTGGAATGGCGTTGATGAATACGGTTTGTGTTGCAGTGTGTGTTAAATACGGGTTATGAAGCAGTGTGTTAAATATGATTTTTGATGCAATGTGTTGAATACGGGTTGTGATGCCGTGTCGGGTATGTCGTAAATACGGGTTGTGATGGAATCTGTTTTATTACGGTCTGTGATATAGTGTATGTGTTGGATGAATGCGGGTTGTTTTGCAGTGTGTCGTAAATACGGTTTATGGTGCAGTGTTTAGCCTACCAGAGCTCCCCACGCCAACAGTACAGCTAGACTGGAGGGGTCAGTACCTCGACGGTGTAACATGAGGACTGAAAGAGCTGTGGTGTTCATACTGAGTAAACACATTTACTAAGACGTCCCCCAAAGAGCTGCTATGTTGTAGAGGTCACAAAGGTTGAAGGTCAAAGGAGTAATTCGTAAAATAAAATCCGTCAACAAGAATATGGTGACACATTACTCAAGTGGAAATTTAGTTCAATTATCTGAGTATTTTTTTTTTTACACGTGTACATTTCTCTTATATGATATCCTTTGAGATACAGGACCTTACTGTAGAAGATCTAGAAATATAATGTAGGAGATTTGAGACACATAGAATGAAGGAACATCCTGTAGAAGATACTAGGAACTTCCTGTCGCAAGTCGGTGGACGCGGAAGTGACGGACGGAGGGGAACGTCCCAGCGGACATGGGGCCTCTTCTCCTCTGTCGTTCCCACACATTTCCACTGTTCCCACTGCCTTTATGCGCATTGGAATTGACGTTGAAACGGAGGTCTGGTCTGTGGTGGTTATGAGAGGGGTGAGGAGGGCTGGGGGTGGCTAGGGGATGGGAGAGGGAGGGTGGGAGAGGGGTGGTAAGAGGAGGTAGGACAGGTACTAGTAGGAGGAGATGGGACCTGGGGGTAGGGAGGCGTAATGAGATAGGGAGGTTATGGGGGGAGTATTAGGAGGGAAAGAGCAGAGGAGGAGGTAAGGCAGGCAGGGAGAATGGGTGTGAGTGTGTGTTTGTGTGTGGATGACAGAGGCATAGTATATATATTTTGCTGAAAACGTGTTATCTCTCTCTCTCTCTCTCTCTCTCTCTCTCTCTTGCTTCACACACCCTTCACCCTCACTCAGACCCACAACCGGTTCACTCAACAGACTGTCGACAGAGGTACTGTACTTTTGATCTTGTCGTCCACCCTAGATGTGTATATGTTGGCTTGTGTGTGTGTGTGTATGTGTGTGTGTGTGTGTGTGTGCGCTAACAAGTTAATTCAAGTGATATTCGTGGATGATATGACAACAAGACTCCCGTGTGACAGGCGTCGGAAAGAAGGTTCCTCTATAATATGACAGTCGAGCGCCCGTGATTGGCTGTTGCGGTCTCCTCATGACTGTGCAGTTCGCCAGTCGATCTATACAGTTCGTCCATTTACCTGTGATTGACTCAGAGACACAAGAGATGTCCTCAGCCATTGTCATTGTCTCGGCCATCTGAGCAGCCATAATCGTTGCCTCATCCATCCTAGCAGCTTTCGGTCATATCCTTAGCCATCCTAACAATATATACTCGATGTCTCAGCATATACCACCCACAGTAACAACCCTCACCTCAACACCCACAGCATTTTTTTTAACCCAACATTCCCAGCGGCCACAATATGAGACTAACTGCAACAAAACTCGTATTCACAGCGAGTTAATCTGCAATCTCACCAGTAGACTCAGGGTAATTTTCTGCTGGTAGAGTTCCTAAGGATGGGAAGTTGGGGCCCCCAATGATCCGCGTCTCCCATTGTTATGAATGTTTGTTGATGTTATGGTTGTAATTTTCTTGTTGTGGTTTGTTTTTGTTATTGATATTAAGGATGGTGAGGTATGTAGTGTTTTGTTTGTTTGTTTGTTTGTTTGTTTGTTAAGTTAGAGGTTTATTTAGTTTGGATTGATGGAATGATACTTGGAGATTTTTATAACCCTTCGTCAATGTCCTTTTCTTATTCATTGGCTAAACAGTTTTCAGTGAATTAAAGACAAAATCACTTCCAGAATCGTAAATTATTCTTAGCTGATAATTTACCGCAAAACACAACAATTATTTACAAAATCAACTCTTGGAATCTACACCCTTTCTTACTCGTCAACTTCCAGCAAAACACATTAATGATTTACAAAAAAAAAACACTTATAAAACATAAAACTCATTATATTAACATCTACAAGTAACATTTAAACACAATAGAGAACAACACACAGTATATCGTTGACGACAATAAAACACTGACCAAAAACAAGACAAAAACACGAGGTTAGTTTTATCCATCTCTTCGCTTCCCTCGTTACCCTCACCAGACTCTGAGGTTATAAGGACCTTTATCCACCTTCCTCCACAACCCACCAGTTAAAACCTCTAATAATGGGTGTCATAGAGTTCATTTTGGGTTTGTTGAGAGCCACCACATCCGGGTAACTCATGCTCGACTGGTGATGCTGAGAACGCTACTGAAACAAAGTGAATTCGGAGGTCTTGTTGTGGTTGACTGTGTGTGTGTGTGTGTGTGTGTGTGTGTGTGTGTGTGTGTGTGTGCGGGTGTGTGTGTGTGTTCGTTAAGTAAGACACGTCTACTGCAAACCTGTATAGTTCTGCTCGCTACATACGCTCCCCTTCCGTATCCTATCCTACCCCCAAGGCGACGTAAATGTGTGGTGTGTCATCGTTAAGTATAGTGTAAATTACGTATGTGCGTGTGGGTGTAGTTATGTAGCCAATAAGTAGACCTTAAGTACTTTAGTCTGTAGTTTGTTAAGGAGCTGTAGTACATTATTTATTTTGTTAAGTAGGAATAACATATAACACTCCCTCTCATTACTAGGATGGAGTGTTTGCTACTTCAACCTCGAGTACCAGGGAGTATACGCCACCCAGAGTATCATCAGTGGAGGCTCAGATATCCACTACTTGGAGGTGGCGATCGAGGCTGACTCCATCCCTATCTGGGGGAACTGCCACCGGCGCCTTGGTAACAACGTCATCCTCTACGACACGTGAGTACCAGTGTTCGAGGTTTATTCTTTTGGCTTTGAGGTTAAGAGTTTTGACTGATTTAGGGATTGGAGGAGGTTTTGAGATTTACTTTTTGAAGGTTCAAGTTTAAGTTTAAAGGATTCGGGGTTCATTTTGTGGGCTTCATATTAATTTTAGAGGTTCGAGGTTCATTTTAGAGGTTCAGGATTCATTTTAGATGTTCAAGATTTACTTTAGAGGCTCAAGGTTCATTTTAGGTGATCTAAATGTTCAATTTTAGCAGATCGAGGTTCCTTTTCTAGTGATCCTGGAACTGTAGGACAGGTTTGAGGCTCAGTTTAGGATCTTTGGGGGAGATTCATGGTTTATTTAAGGGTTCAGGGTTCTAAATTAAAGACTACGTATTGAAAATCTATACCAAATATTTAATCCTGTATTCAAAATCTCTATTTAAGTGTATCTACCTATTCCTAAAAACGACCTACCTCTACTTAAAAAAACCACCTATCTCTACCTAAAAGCCATACCTACCTAAAACTATCTGCTTCTACCTAAAAGATATATACTTATCTGTCTCTCCCTCTATCTAACCCCAGGACGGGAGGAACCGACTGTGTACGTTGCTTCCACCTGGAGTTCCGTTCGCGACACATCCTGGAGGTGCACAACGAAGGGCTGGGCAAGTGCTACACGAACGAGGAGGCTGCCTTACAGACCTGCCCTACTCTCGACGATATCCGCAACAGGCAAACTCGCGAAATCATGTTGTACAGTGAGTAACAGACTAGTGATTTGTGATAACTTGTCGAGGAGTATTTGATGTTTTGAGGTGTCGTGGTGGATGTTTGAGTTATTAAGTTGTCATTGGGGTAGAGTTAGCATGTTTGAGATTTCAGATACGAATGGACGATTGACCTGTTCGGGTTTCAGAGATCTTCACAGACATACGGTAAGAGTGTTGGGGATATACATAGGGATTGTAAAGCCTATTTTTAAGTTTCGTATAATTATAATTAAAGCTACTTAGGGTTCACGGGTGTATTTTAAAACATCTTTGAAGATTCATAGTAAGCTCACACAGATCTAATAGGGTTCACAGACTTCACAGAGTTCTAAAACGAATCACAGACACACCACAAAGTTCTAAGAGGTTCACAGATAAGCCATTAAAGGTCTTTGAACCTCGTAGACTTAGTAAAAAGGTATATTAACTCCACAAACTTACCACAGAGGTCATTAAGCCTTTAGGTCATACGGTGTTGTGACGGTGAGACTCGTGGTGGATGTGAAGGAATCCTCAGCTAAGTGACCCTTGGTGTAAACTATTTATATATAATTCCACACAAAGAGAAAAAAAAAAAAACAGTAAATATTTCAGATAATTGATTCTCTGTGTTTATTATTTGTATTTATTGTCTCTATTCCTCTCTCTTACACTTTGGTATGGGTTGAGTCAAAGGGTACAGAACCTTATGAAAGAGGGGGGGGGAGGGATGATAGGTAAGTAGTGTGTTGCAATATAAGTGTAGAAAGCGACAGGAATGGGCTGAATCATCCAGATAGATAAACACACACACACACACACACACACACACACACACACACACACACACACACTCACACACACACACACACACACACACACACACACACACACACACACACACACACACACACACACACACACCCTTCGGCAGTATACAAAATGGAGTGTTAAATACCAAGACTTATCTGTGTAGGAAGAAATACTTAACAATATCTTAATAAAGACTATTGGAGTAGAACCACAGGGAGAATATCCACACTAGAGAGACCAGCCCTGACTAGATATCGCCCAATGTCTCCTTTTTTTTCCCTCTTAGAGACTGTCTCAATCTTAAAGAGACTCCAGTTATATATCTCTGTCTCTCTTCTTTCTTACTCCCTCGCATAGATCTTTTTACCTAAGAAATTGCAATTATCTCACTCTCTCTCTCTCTCTCTCTCTCTCACTTAACTTTTTATCTCTATCTCTCACCTTGTAGAGACGGCGACGAACGAGGGCCAGCCACTTGACCCCGTGTACTGCCCTGTTGACGGCCGCTACCACATCACCTACAACATCAACGACGGGCTGGAGAGTGCGACCGAATGCCCTGAGCCCTCCTCCACCCTGGCTAACTGTCCTCGAGGCAACACCTTCACCATGAACTTCCACAGATGCAAATTCGGCGATTTTTGTGAGTGTTTGAAGATCTTAAGTGTATTCCTGTATTATTTTTCGTGTTGTTTGAGTTTCCCCTCTACTTTTAATCACGCTGTTTTCTGTTGAAGTTGGTTATTGGTAAACAAAATTAGTTTTTTTTCTAATTATCTCAGAATTTTTGCCTGTTTACGTGTTTATAATTCATTTGTCTGTTGCTTTACAGTTTTTTGTGATTTTCTGTCTGAATAATCGTAGTTTTTTATTATTTGTATGTGATTTTATTCTGTTTGTTGTTTATATATGAGTGAGTCGACTTTAAATCACTGGTAGACGAGTCGACTTGGAATCACTGCTACACGAGTCAATTCACGACCATAAACATCGCGGTTATCACACAAGATCACAAGATGTCAACCAAAGACTCGCACAGTATAAACAAAGACCTCGTAGTTATAACAAGACTCAAGACTCACACGTTATCTTAAAATGACAAAGATATTAAGAACTTGCTACAGGAGATATAAACAAAAGACTACAAGAGATATTAACAAAAGACTACAAGATATATAAACAAAAGACTACAAGAGATATTAACAAAAGACTATACAAAAAATATCAACAATAGACAACAAGATATAAACAAAAGACTACAAGATAATAAACAAAAGACTACAAGAGATATAAACAAAGACTACAAGATATATAAACAAAGACTACAAGATATATAAAACAAAAGACTACAAGAGATATAAACAAAAGACTACAAGAGATATAAACAAAGACTAAGAGATATAAACAAAAGACTACAAGATATAAACAAAAGACTACAGGAGATATTAACAAAAGACGACAAGATATAAAAAAAAAGACTACAGGAGATATAAACAAAAGACTACAAGATATATAAACAAAAGACTACAAGAGATATTAACAAAAGACTACAAGAGATATAAACAAAGACTACAAGATATATAAACAAAGACTACAAGATATATAAACAAAAGACTACAAGATATATAAACAAAAGACTACAAGAGATATAAACAAGAGAATACAAGATATATAAACAAGAGAATACAAGAGATATTAACAAAGACTACAAGAGATATAAACAAAAGACTACAAGAGATATAAACAAAAGACTACAAGAGATATAAACAAAAGACTACAAGATATATAAACAAAAGACTACAAGATATATAAACAAAAGACTACAAGATATATAAACAAAAGACTACAAGATATATAAACAAAAGACTACAAGAGATATAAAAAAAAGACTACAAGATATATAAACAAAAGACTACAAGAGATATAAACAAAAGACTACAAGAGATATAAACAAAAGACTACAAGATATATTAACAAAAGACTACAAGATATTAACAAAAGACTACAAGAGATATTAACAAAAGACTACAAGAGATATAAACAAAGACTACAAGATATATAAACAAAGACTACAAGATACATAAACAAAAGAATACAAGATATATAAACAAAGACTACAAGAGATATAAACAAGAGACTACAAGAGATATAAACAAGAGACTACAAGAGATATAAACAAAAGACTACAGGAGATATAAAAAAAAAAGGAGATATAAACAAAAGACTACAAGAGATATAAACAAGAGAATACAAGATATATAAACAAGAGAATACAAAGATATTAAGAACTTGCTACAGGAGATATAAACAAAAGACTACAAGAGATATAAGCAAAAGACTACAAGAGATATTAACAAAAGACTACAAGAGATATTAACAAAAGACTACAAGAGATATAAACAAAAGACTACAAGAGATATAAACAAAAGACTACAAGAGATATAAACAAAAGACTACAAGAGATATAAACAAAAGACTACAAGATATATAAACAAAAGACTACAAGAGATATAAACAAAAGACTACAAGATATATAAACAAAAGACTACAAGAGATATAAACAAAAGACTACAAGAGATATAAACAAAAGACTACAAGAGATATTAACAAAAGACTACAAGAGATATAAACAAAAGACTACAAGAGATATAAACAAAAGACTACAAGAGATATTAACAAAAGACTACAAGAGATATTAACAAAAGACTACAAGATATATAAACAAAAGACTACAAGAGATATAAACAAAAGACTAAACAAAAGAAGAGATATAAACAAAAGACTACAAGAGATATTAACAAAAGACTACAAGAGATATAAACAAAAGACTACAAGAGATATAAACAAAAGACTACAAGAGATATAAACAAAAGACTACAAGAGATATAAACAAAAGACTACAAGATATATAAACAAAAGACTACAAGAGATATAAACAAAAGACTACAAGATATATAAACAAAAGACTACAAGAGATATAAACAAAAGACTACAAGAGATATAAACAAAAGACTACAAGAGATATTAACAAAAGACTACAAGAGATATAAACAAAAGACTACAAGAGATATAAACAAAAGACTACAAGAGATATTAAGACTACAAGACTACAAGATATATAAACAAAGAGAATACAAAGATATTAACAAAAGACTATAAGATATAAACAAAAAGAACAGGAGATATTAAAAAGACTATACAAAAAATATCAACAATAGACAACAAAAGCCCTTCTAGTAACCCTCAATTGTCTTGTCCTTCACCGCCCCACGTAATGGCTGACCCAGAACAACGTGGGTTTCACCTCTTCCGCCAACTATTTCGTAAACTTTCGTTGTAATTATCCATCTCCGTCCTGATGTGTAAGTGTGACGTCATATTTAGAGTGATGTGTGTTAGATAGCTTGAGTATGACGTCATAACACTTTGGAATGGTATATGTTAAATGATTTGAGTGTGACGTCAGCCTTGAGTGTGACGTCAGCCTTGAGTGTGACGTCAGCCTTGAGTGTAAAGAAAAAAAAAGTTAGGTTTATAGCGAGGAAAAAGTATAAAGAAATTTACTTTTTTTCACAATTACTGGGAAAAATAATGTGCATGTTTTTTTTCAGAATGTGGTGACTAACACTGATTATTTCTTGTTCATTCTAACTTTTGTGAATAATAAAGATAATTTTTTATTTTTTTCACAATTCTGGGTAAAATTTTAGATTTTAGTAGAATTCTGTGTTAAATTATTCGATTTTTTTCTAAAGAATTTTGTACCATATACGTATTTAGATTTTATTTCACATTATTATTATTATTATTATTATTATTATTATTATTATTATTATTATTATTATTATTGTTACTATCATTATTATTATTACACTACCACTACTACTACTACTACTACTACTACTACTACTACTACTATATTATTGCTATTGTTGTTATTATAATTATTTTTATTCTAACACTCTGCCATACACCCGTACACACACACCGTTATACACATCAAGTCATCGAGTGAATGGTGGTCCTCGAGTGCCTGGCTCGACCTCGCAGTTACTGTTATTGCTCGAGAACATTGTTTTTACCTGGTGGCAAAATACCTGTCATCACTCTACCTTGACACAATCAGCTGACGCCATGACGCGAGTGTGACGGTGCCTTGACGGTGAACTGTGGATCGTAGTGTGACGGTGGTTGACGGCAGTGTGACGGTGGTTGACAGCAGTGTGGCGGTGGTTGATGGCAGTGTGACGGTGGTTGACAGCAGTGTGGCGGTGGTTGATGGCAAATGCACCATAATTAAGCTAACAGTTATCTCCACAGCTAACAGCCAGGCTTTTGACAGCTAAGAAGCTGTCCTGCCCTTGTGCCAACTCACAGCTAAACTCCATCCTAACATCTCAGCTAAACCCATAGTTAAAAAGAGACATACTAAAGCCCCTATTGTAATCTTCTCAACTAAGTTTCACAGCTAACTTCTCATTCTGTTCTCCGGCAGCTAAGAGCTATGAGTGCCTGGGTGACTGGGAGGGCACTGACGGGCAGAGATACCTGGCACTACATGACCCTTCGGCACTGTCCGCGGCTGGCACTGACCCTCCGCCTCCTCGCTTCCGCTGTGCTGTGAGTATTGCCTTATTGACCAGTTCACTCTGAGGGAATAAGGTTCAGAAATAATGAGAAAACTCGAACATTTATTTTTTTCCTGTGTATGTCTGATCTGTTGTCTCTATGTCTTTGCTAAGGTCTTTGTCTGGTCTACAATATACGCCCATAAGACAGCAGATAGTGCTCAAGGGCCGATCCGGAGGGGGTGTCCTTGGGGTCCGGTCCCTCCCTTTTCACCAGAAAATTCCAATACTTTTCCTTTAATGCAGTATTGTACTCAGGCGTTTTTGTATAGTAAAAAGTATTTACTATTGACCTCAGAATATCTCCTAATATACATGGCTTCAAAATGGCCTCAAAATGTCCTGGATCCGCCCCTGGCTGCTAACCCACACCCCCCGCCATAAACACGATCTTTAGCCAGCTATTTATGGGATTTTAATTCATGAATTTAAAGTCATCACTTCAAGAACGAAGAATAGACAAAGCTAACCCACTCTCTCTTCCTTGCTCTCGTAAGGGCGAAATTCACCTCTTACTTAAGGGGATTTTGATACATAAATCAATACTGGCTGTGGTGTGCTTCATGCTTGGGTGATCATTGCATATGTTCCCTCGTCGCTGCTGCCCACAGCTATTTAAACTAAAAAGCATTTCCTGTTTTCTTCCCCTTGGCGTGTTCGATTCCCTGCTGTGCATTCATCCATCTGCCAAAGTAGATAACGAATTGAACAAATATTTAAGTTATTGTTCCTTAGATTACATTTAGAACGGTAATTATAGTTTCTGTTGGGTGAAACGGTTGAGGCTTGAGGGTTATTAAGCGTTGAGAAATATTCGAATAAGTTTAAATCGGAGTGCAAGTCGGTGCCGGAAGGGTTGGGAGGCGGGGTTCACACGGGAGTCACAGCCTGAGGCCTCAGCGCGTGATGCTGTGTGGGCCGCCAGCAAGAAGCCACGCTCAAGGGCTATTTCCGGTCCTTTTTTCCGGTTCTGCTTATACACCTTTAGGTAGGAACTCCAACGACGGTGAAGGTGGTGGAGGAGACATGTGGAATTTTTGTGGTAGGGAGAGCTATTTACACGTCGAGGGGGTGCCAGGCTGTAATTGGGTGAATAATTGTTTTCTGGTTTTTTTCATCATATTTTTTTCAATGAACGTGATTTTATTTGGTGTTGGACGTTGGTTAAATCCTTTGAAGACGATGGTTTAGGTTTAGCTTTCAAGACGCTGGTTTAACCCTTCTAAGACGATAGTTTAACGAACCCTTTTAAGATGGGAACATAACCTTTTGTAGACCACGGTTTAATCCTAGTAGACTATGATTTAACCCTTTGACGAGTGTGGTTTAACCCTTTAGACGAGATGGTATAACCTTTGAAAAGACGAATTAACCCTTTGCAGACGATGGTTTAACCTCTGTAAAAGATAACATAACCCTTTAAGGATTACAGCTTAAACTGTCGTCTTCAAAGGGTTAAAAGACCTTAAGAGAACCGGTTTAATGTATTACCAACTTAAGGATATGAACAGGTATGTGTGGCCATATTTACCTGCTGTGTTAACCCTTTCTTGTCGCTTCCTACACCTGTCTCACTTCGTTATATCTACATGTTATTTCTTTCCTTCTTTGAGATTTCTATACTTCTCAGTGTACACCCAAACAAAAGTGTGAGAGGAGGAAAAATATGATAGATAGAGATGAACTGAAAGGTAGATAGATTGTGTATGAGATTGGTAAAAAATATATAAATGGATGATAGAAATTGCAGAGATTTTTCACTTAAAATTCTCTGTCTGAAAACGCATATGGAAAAATATAAGAAAAACTTATTTATGCTCTTCAATATTGAGTAATTTCCGACGATGCTTAAATAACAAGAATATAAATTCTTTCTTAAGAATGCTTACAAGAACTGAATCTTTCTTCAAACACGAATCCCACGTGTAAACATGCAGGCATTTAAACCTATCACAGGAATCTTAAAGCCAAAAGAACTACGGTTAAAATATCCCATGTTAAAAGTTAAAACTCATACGTGGATTATTTGAAGACATATTGCTAATTACACAAGTGGGTAATCCCCTTTTCTTAGTTTTTATTAAGGTTTGGCTGTCGTAACTCACTACTGGCCAGTCAAGAGTACTACCTGCATCCTCATTGGGTAGCTTAAGTTTAATTGATCCGTCCACCATGGAGACAACCTGGCCTGTGATTGGCCCAAGCCTGAAACGTGGGTCATGTAGGCCACGCCAACAAAAGGCTGCCCACCAATTATTTTTAAATTGCTAGCTTATCAGATATCCTTAATACAAAAGCAATATTAATAGCAATAATAACGACGATAATAACTAGGAAGATTTTTTTTAATGAGTGATAGATACCTACAGACTTCAGGAGGTCGTGTTCTTCGCCATGGCACGCGAGCTGTAGTAAGTTCCCGCCAAAACACGACATTTCTAGTGCTTTTCTTCACCCAAATTCCTCAATTTTACAGTTTTCTTAAAAATGCTGAGGTTATAACGTTACCTCTAAATATAAGTTTTTTTATGTTCTTCCCCCCAAGAGTACAGTACAAGACTTCACAACTCATTTCCGCTCAGATACAGGAGTTGGTGTTAACGCATCGCTTTTAGTTGTTACTTGCCGAAATTAAGTATAAGTTATAGTAAACTTGTTCTCATAAATTCTAGAATTCTTAAACATTTCCACAAAACTCAAGAATCTTGTTCTCTATCTGCTAAAATACACGCCTCTTTAATACTTTTCACCAGAATATGATTATAATACTCTTTCCTCCAACATACAATTTATCATATACTTAATTCAACAAAGTGAGAGTTTTAATACTTTTTCGCATAATTAGATGAGTTGCGAGAGTTTTTACCTCGTTGGCAGCCGTGTGAAGTAGCTCCGTCTCGCTGCAGATAATCTAACAAACACTTCAGTATAATTGTTTGGGTAATACAGAGGTAAACCACTGCTACAGCCCGGAGAACTCCAGACCTGTGACGTCACGGCCGACACACCACATCCGGTCACTCTCTGCACCTTGAAACGTGTCCGATCCGCTGCCCGACATAACCAAATAACTCACTTTTAATCTCAATCAATTTGATTTCTCATCACAACAACCAAGATCCGTTTTAGTAAGAATGATTATCGTATATATAAAAAAATGTATATACAGTATCTCGTAATAGTATATGAATTAATTAAAAGTCCAGATTATCAAGTCAAAATCTCAGGCATTCGGATGAAACTTGGAACAGGTCACACACCTCTTACGACTACGTGTTTTGTCAGCTCGATCGCCCTCAAGTGTCCGTCTTATTATTTTTACGATATTTTGTTCTTGTTTTCCCGGTTGAGATTTATCGAGCAACACCGTGTCTTAAACATTAGTGGAGGTATATATTCACTGTCAGAAATTTATGACAAAAAAATTTTGAAAGAAGAGCTTAAGGTTATCATTAGTGAAGATATATCCCTTCCTGCCCAAGAGCTACGTGTTGGCGGGCTAACTCTTAAAAAAAAAATCTTGTTTCTCTTCTCTTACTCTCTGGATCCTCCTCATTCTCCTTCGTTTTTCTATTTGTTTTTATCGTTGTTTTCCTCACTTCTTCCTGTTTTATCGTCGTCATCAATCTCTAATAAAGAATATATATATATATATATATATATATATATATATATATATATATATATATATATATATATATATATATATATATATACGCACAACTAATATTTTTAGGTCGATATATTAATAAAAAAAAAAAAATATATATATATAATTACCAACGAAATATTATCTTGTCTGTCAACTCCCATCCACGTACCATGATGCATCAACCCTAACGTGTTACCCCCAAGTTGATAATAAATAGTTGGCGTCACGTGAGGGAAGAAGACACACACACACACACACACACAAGAACCACCTGCCGTAGAACCAGCCCTTAGTAGAGTAATGGGCGTCACTTTTAATCGGCTGTGTCGTCATCAGCAGCAACTGTGGCGATGTTAACCGCGTCAGGCTAAAACTTAACAGCCTCCTCCCTCCCTACCTCACCTCCTACCCCTACCCTCCCTACCTCACCTCCTACCCCCTCCCCGTACTCCCCTACACCCCCTCCCCTCCTCTCACAGGGTCTGAGGAAATGATGAAGGAAAAACAAGGATTTTGTCTTCATTCATTACATTCGTTCATTCATTTATTAATTCAGTTATTTTTAACCATATGAACAATGACTATATTGTGTGTGTGTGTGTGTGTGTGTGTATCAAGGATGTTATATTAAAAATTTCGTTAACACCAATAAATAATTAATTGTAATGTCATTACAAAATCATTAACTTCAAATCCATTAACTTTAATTATAAATGACATCTTTTCGTGGAAGATAATTAATAAAGCTTGACGCAACAACAACAGAAAAACGTTTAATAATTTAATAAGAAATTAACGTTAGCCAAAGCACCAAAATTCACTCACAAATTTTAAAGACTGTTAACATTGACTTTCCATGACCCCAGTCCTCTCTCTTGTCTTATTCCACCTTCAACACAACACCAGGTAGCTGTAGCAGTCACTTGTGTTCTTGGGTATCTGTCTGACTGTCTGTCTAGTTGTCTCGTTGACTTCCCCAAATCCTACAAACTGGTAATAGCTGCGTCATGGCAACACTGTAAAACAAATGACGGTCGATATTTGTTTACATTTTGTCGGACCTCGGCAGTAATGGTGAGAACCTGAGTTGGTGGTGTACACGACTCTCGCTGTGTTTATAACTGAGCATAAAAATTCGTTTTGGTATTGGCAACAGTGACTTTTTTTTCTGCTTCGGTGAATTTTTAACTCCAAGACACTGCTGTAAATACCTCATGTTTCTATGTATGTAAAGGAGAGAGAGACATTCATCTTACGTCAGATTTGTTTAATGTTCTGAACACTTGACAAATACGTGACTGTATCTCTGTTCAACCACGAGATGAAGATTGTACCTTAGGAAAGTGAAAGTGCAGCAGTGGATACAGTTTACAGAAGACCAGGCGATTTGGCACAGAAGGAGGCACTGCTCTCGACCGCCTACACTCCCCAATTGTAAGGTCAGGTACCCCTTCAACAGCTGGGGTGTACTGTACTTCAGGTGCCCGGGAAACGGACCAGCGACCTTAGGACAAGAGACAATTCACCCAACTACCGCATCCTCCCTTAACCTTACCAAAATACAAACGATGGTAGAATACACCCCAACTTATCGACAACACTTGTTATGGTAGAATGCGCTTTAATTTAACTTAAACACTTTATCAATATAGCCATAACTTTAATTTAACTTATACATTTAATATGGATGACTACACCTTTAACACAAGTAAATATTATCCATAACCTATAAGTATCTAACATGGTAGAACGCACCCTTAACACAATCCCATAAATTTGCAGAACGCACCCTTAACACAAGCCCCTAATTTAGCAGAAGGCACCCTCAACATAAGCCCCTAATTCAGCAGAACGCACCCTTAACCAAACCAAAACATCCAGCAGGGCGGAAAAGAATTAACGCCCTTAACCTCACCGTACACATCGAGGCCGAGTGGCAAAAAGCCCTGTAAACATTATAATTACGTACCGTGGAGCGTCGCTAATGCCCTTCTGTAGACTTTTCTCGTCCGGGAATGTCTTCACGCCGGGGTTCCAAATTTCTACGCTGCCTCGGTGTTTCTCTCGTCTTCGCTACCTCCGAGTCGTTTCTTTTTCTTATCGTTTTTTTTATATTTATTTTTTAAGCTGTCGTTTCTCCGCAGCAGCCGCCATCTCTTAGCGTTCGTTGACCCACCTGTCGTCCATTTTTTTAGAAGGAGGGGGGGGTGGGATTTTAACTTTGTATTATTTGCAATTTTGCTTTCGCAGGAGCACGTTCCCGAGGTTTTTTTTTTTTGCGAATGATCTTGTCTTGAAGAGGAAACCTGGTGGGTGTTTGACCTCAGTGATGGCGGGATGTGTTTCTGGGTAAAAGATCATTGGTTTTATTGTATTATTGTTCCGTCATGGGTGAAGGAGATTCAGTGCCAGTCACTCCGAGTTCAAAGTTTTATGTAAAGGCGTTAAAGTCCCAGAATAGATTTGAAACTTTATTCATCGTGTTATACCCAACTCAACTAACCTCTCGTTCCTGCCAGCAAGATTTCCCACCAGAGGAAGATACAGTGTAAAGTGTAGGATAAAACCTTCCGTCTTTTCATATTAAAAACCGTCAATACAGAACCTAATTGAAGCTAAGGGAACCACAGTGTGTTCTCTGACAAACTACTTCCAAGGAAATAGTCAGACCAGTTGACACAGTTCAGGACGCCTCGGTAGACATTTGTTTTTACGATTAATCAGCCTAATTTCCTCCTCTCCTGATTTGACTGATGTGAGGTTTTCGCGCGCGAGGAATATTTTATTGAGTCAACCCAACGAATATTTTTTTTTTCGGCCACTCTTATCTGTTAGAAAAATTGTGATTGGTGGTCAGGTTTGTTCTCTACGGGGGTGCGGAGAGGACGGAGGTGGGGCCAGCAGTAGCCAGTTGTTATATACTATTATGTGTCTCTTGTAATACTTATTGTGTTATGTTTTCAGATGTACAAGGTGGAGGAAGACACGGGCCAAGTCTACCTGTCGCTCTCCTATGACTCAACCTGTATCAACAAGCTACACTCAGCCTGGGAGGGCTACGAGACTCTGGTCCTCACGCCCACCCCGCCCAAAGCGCCCGTCTCTGAGGTGTGTATAAGCTACTTACTCACTTAACGCATACCACATTGTTAGTTTATACGCCTCTAGCTTCACTGACGCTCGCTGTAATGTGCCTTTCAAAAAACAAACAACATACCCCCTTGTAACTAGATCTAAACCAGTTTCTCGTGACCTGACACAACTTGGGCCAAGATAGAGAGTTAATCTTTCTTGCTACTTAGTTTTCTCCAGCAACTCCAGGTCCCTTAGTAATGTTATTTCTAGTCTTGGTGCACAAGGACGCCGCGGTGAATATATCTGATTGTAATTTTCTTGTCTGGTTTCATCCTTTGTTCAAATATAATGTTGTTTATGTATGATGCAGAGAGATATGTGAGTAGCGGGTATACAGTACTCTCTCTCTCTCTCTCTCTCTCTCTCTCTCTCTCTCTCTCTCTCTCTCTCTCTCAACCCTCACGTTCCCTCACTTTTCCCCTCTATCCGTTCTACATACCTTACCCCACTCGAGCCCTCACTCACTCACTCTCACTCCCACTCTCACTTTCTCCCTCTCTTCTCAGGCCTCCAATGCCAAGTGCACGTTTCCGGAGTGGGCACAGGGCCAGTGGGAGAACCTACGTGTAGAAGATAACCAGGCCACCTACACCGACCTCAACACCTACAAGACCTTCAGGGTGTTCTGTCTCGACCAGAGTATGGCTGGCCTTGTCCCCGTCTACACCCAGTCCCAGTGGTGAGTGTTTTATGGTGTTGTGTTATGGTGGTGTTGTGGTGAGTGTTTTATGGTGTTGTGTTATGGTGGTGAGTGATTTATGGTGTTGTGTTATGGTGGTGAGTGTTTTATGGTGTTGTGTTATGGTGGTGTTGTGGTGAGTGTTTTATGGTGTTGTGTTATGTTGGTGTTATGGTGAGTGTTTTATGGTGTTGTGTTATGGTGGTGTTATGGTGAGTGTTTTATGGTGTTGTGTTGTGGTGGTGAGTGTTTTATGGTGTTGTGTTATGGTGGTGAGTGATTTAGCAGTGTGTGTTATGGTGGTATTTAAGTGGAGTGTTTTGTAATTGTTGTATGTTATGGTGGTATTATGGTGAGTGTTTTATAGTGTTATGTTATGAGTGTGCGTGTTTTAACAGTGTTAATGTTATGGTGATGTTGTGGTGAGTGTTTTATGGTGTTGTTATTGTAGTGGTGGTGTTTTATGAGTGTTGTGTTATGGTGGTAGGTACATGGTGTTGTGTTATGGTGGTGTTGTGAGTGTTTTATGATGTTGTGTTATGGTGGTGGTATAGGTAGGTGTTTGTAATTGTGTATGGTGGTAGAGTGTTTCTATGGTGCTGTTATTGGTAGTAGTGATTTATGGGTGTTGTGTTACCTGGTGTTAGGTGTTTATGATTGTTGTGTTATGTTGGTGTGGTAGGTATTTTATGGTGTGTTGTGTTATGGTGGTGAGTGTTTATGGTGTTTTGTTATGGTGGTGAGTGTTTTATGGTGTTGTGTTATGGTGGTGAATGATTTATGGTGTTGTGTTATGGTGGTGAGTGTTTTATGGTGTTGTGTTATGGTGGTGTTATGGTGAGTGTTTTATGGTGTTTGTGGTGTTATGGTAGGTGTCTTATGATGTTCGTGGTGCTGTGGTGAGCGTCTTCTGGTGTTCGTGGTGCTGTGGTGAGTGTCTTATGGTGCTGTGATGGAGTTTATGGTGCAAATACTGGTTGTTATAGTGGTGTAGTGGATTGTGCTGAAGTATTGGGGCGCTGGTGGTGATTAAAGTTCTCCCACCCTCCCTCCCTTTATAGAGACTAGTCTCCCTCCTTGATGACTAAGCTCCCTCCATCCATTCCTCCCTGGTGACTAAGCTCCCTTCCTCCTTGGTGACTAAGCTCCCCCCTCCCTCCCTCCCTTCCTCCCTGGTGACTAAGCTCCCTCCCTCCCTTCCTCCACTTCCTTCCTCTGGCGGATCGGAACTCCACCCCTTCTCTGCTCTCGCGCGCCCACCTGCCACCTTACTGACGTCACAGATCCACCACGCCTACACGCCACGCCCATATAACAAAAGACTTACGACTGCGTGCACCGAGGCATTGAGTTCCTCTACAGACCACCTGCGGGCGGGTCCTGCCGCTACGCCTCCATCGGTGTTCAGGATGTGCTCACAGGAACCTAAGCGACCTTGGGTGGGTTAAGGACGTCGTTGGATTGTGATTGTCTGTGTTGAGGAACGCGGGGATAGATGTAGGGAATTGGTGGAGAGATGGAGGGGTGTGTTGGAGAGGTGGAAGGATGTGTAGGAGTGTTTTAGAGGTTTGTATCATGTGTTGGAGAGGTAGAAGGATGTGTAGGAGTGTGTTGGAGGTTTGTATCATGTGTTGGAGAGGTAGAAGGATGTGTAGGAGTGTGTTGGAGGTTTGCAGCATGTGTTGGAGAGGTGGAAGGATGTGTAGGAGTGTGTTGGAGGTTTGCAGCATGTGTTGGAGAGGTAGAAGGAAATGTAGGAGTGTGTTGAAGGTGTGGTGTGGTGGAATGAATGTATTTGAATAAGATCTGTTTGTTGTCCCTTGAGAGCAACACCTGCCCCATCCCTCAGTCTGGGGTCGACACACCTTACAAGACGCAGTGTGAAATACAATCTGGTCATGGACACACGTACTGGGTGTCACTTTTTAAATGCTTACTTGACAATGAAATTTAAGTAGACTAGTTTACCTGGAATTTTTGACGATATAGATGAAACAGGATGGTCCTTGTGCACCTACAGTAATCAATGATATACTTTGTTCTTCTTAAAGTAAATGCACAGGGACTTTTCGATCACCCTATTACATTATTGATAACAGGAGACGTACTTGAGGTTTTTAGGATCTGTTTACCTCTTTATATTTAGGTTCTATTTGCAGATCGAATTTAGGGTTTAGTGAAAAGTATATATTATGTACTGGGAAGAATTACATATTTAAACGTATCTAAAATGAATATTAAATGTAAATATAATACTAACTAAATTGAAAAATAATGATTTGTTTTACAGCGCCTCATGACACTAAGTAATGAATGTATGACGCTTTTAAAATACCTGTGTTAGTTTCCATGACGGCTGGCGTGACGGGACGTATACATTACACGACAAGTCTCCATGACACTCGAGTATAAATGACATAACACGTCCCAGTGATACCAAGCATAAACGCCACAACCACAATACCTTCCAGTGACACCAAGTATAGACGCCACAACCAGTGACACCGAGTATAGACGTCACAGCCACAACATATGAAGGCTATCGAGTCGTTTATGAATCAGCCATGTTTTTTTCCGCCAGTTTAAATTGGGCTAATTAGACCAATGGAATGTGACGGGGTAATTTAGACGAGGAGGGGGGATTAGTTCACGCATTCTTGGAGGGGTGGAGGGGCTGGTGGAGTGGGGGGGGGTTAAGTCCTTCAGGTAGGGGTAATTAGAACTAAGTGGCAGGGTAGTTAAGAGTAGTTAGGGGAGTAGGGGGAAAGTGGTGGGGGAAGGTTGTTAGCTACCGAGTCAGGTCTAGCGGGTTACGCCCTTCCGGTGAGGAAGAGGATGAAGGAGAAGTGAGGAAGAGGAGGAAAGAAGATGAAAGGAGGAGAGGGAGAAGAGTAAGGAAGAAGGGATGGTAATGACTTGATGAAAGCAATTTGGGGAAGTGTGGTACTTCCTGTAATGAGGTATCCCTTAGGGAAGTACCCATAGGAATGTACCTCTGGTGATATACCCCGAGGAAAGTGCCCACCCCCTAAAAAAAGTACCTCTAGAGATGAACCACTGAAAAAGTATCCATATGAATTAGTTTACCCTTAGGGAAGTACCAACTACTGCCTGAGAGGTACTGTCGTGAGCGAGGGTGGAAGGGAGTGACTAACACAGGTAGCAGATAAGTCATCAAACCTTCTTATTGTTTTTATCACCTTTTTATCTTTATTCATTATCTTCTTGGTTCTGTTTCCTTCTCGTTCTTCGTTGTTTTCTTCCTCTTTCTTTGTGTTTGTTTATTTACCTTTCGCTGTTTTTTTTAAGTTTTGCTTATTTTCCTCCGTATCTCTTCTCTTCTCTTCTCCATCCTTTCCCATTTCTTTTCCTCCTCTTTGTTCCTTCCTATCTTCTCCTTTATCTTCCCCCTTCTCTTTTTCTTTATCCCTTTTCCCCCCTCCCCTCTTTCTTTCCCTTATCCCTCCTCTTCCTCCCATCCCCTACTCCTCCTGTCTCCCCTCTTCCTCCTCCTCCTCCTCCAACAGTTTCCTCCCTCACTCATTCTCCACCGCACCTCTCCTGCCACACTTGTTCCCTCCCTTCCCTCTTTTCACCCTCCTCCCTCCTTCCTTCGTTTCGTTCTTCCTTTCCTTCTTCTCTGCATTCACTAATCTCTACTTACCGTCTTCCGCTTCCCCTAATCTCCCCTGCTTCCCTTCCCCTTCTCATTACCCCCCACAATTACCCCCCCCACCTCCTCCCTCCTCCAAACCGTGGGACGCCTGTTAGTTCGGCCAAGTCGCGTGTCAGAGTTTAAATGCCCCGACGCGGTCTCAGAAGGTCTTTTAAAGCAACTGAGAAAGAGCCATGGCCATTTAAACAAGACGACCCCCCACCCCAGTTTGTAGGCCATTTACATCAAGAGATAAATAGTCGTTGTAAAAGCGTTTATGGATTATGTATGTTTATGTAAATTAAGTTACCGTAATGCTAATTTTATGTTTTTACTGAGGATTGCCAAGTCAGTGTGTTCGGACGTCTTTCGCTTACGACGGAAAATTTTACGGACTCTTTCAGAATCTAACCAAATAGTGTAACGATTTTTTTTTTTTTTTAAGTTTCAAAGTAGGTGAAAATAATAATATCCCAAATTATAAATAGTAAAATATATTAGATACTATTAAACACCGACAAAGTATTAATTTAGAGGTAATATTTTTGGTTTGTTTGGATTTGAACGCCTAAATGAATTATCTTATAACTGTAGATTACAACCCAAAATATATAATAATTTTTGTTTGCCAAGACAGAGTAGTGATATAAAAGTAAATTATTTAATATTTTTGAAACCTTACCATCTACGAATTCCTAAATTGGTGAACAAAACTTTTAATTAAATTTTTTTTGAGAATAATAACGTGAATAAATACTCAGTAATCTATTATAAAGGCAAATTACATTATTATTATTATTTTACTTGTGTTATTATCATCTTTATATTTACTTAAACTATTAGTATTAGTAGTAGTATTAAATTTTAAATATCGTAGAGATTTCGACGCAGACAAAGTAATCATCCAAATTACAAAAGTTTATGATTTTTTTCTTTGGAGTTACATTTGGAGATTTCAACGCCGTCAAGATAATTAGTGACCTTTGGAGAATTAAATTAATGACAAATGTAATCGAATATAACTACTTACCATCTGACCAAGATAATTGAACACGGCAAATGTAAACCAAAGTAATCGAAGACAAACGTTATGGAACCAAAAGTAATCGAACACCACAATTGTAACAGTACTGAACAGACTGAACCTTGGGTGGTCATCGGATGCGCGTATGACCAGAGGCGCTGGCTGGCTGTGGTATCAGTCACTCACTTCCGGTTGTGTAAGTACTGCCCGGAAGTGACATAATATTCATGTACTGTCTCACAAGGTGTATTTCCCATTGGTGTGTACTGGTTAGTCTGTGTGCGTGTACTGTCTGTATTGTTATGAGAGGAGTACTTTCCC